CTAATAGGATGGGCTAAGGGATGGCTTTTAGTGAGGCTTGAGAAACTGCTCCCGCTGAAATCCTATACATTGAGCCAGACCTGCAGAGAAACGGCTTGCCTCTTTGGGAAACTAATAGAAAGAAGGGGATGTGGTTATTGGAAATAATGAGAAGTGATGTGACCCGACGTAGCCTTTGACCTTCCTTGGTTAAGTCGCTCGGGTAGCGGGATGGTAGCAAACGGCTATGAGCTGGAATATTATAAAAAAGCAAAGGGTTGCATTAGTTATGCCCTCTTTTCTGTGGGACGTGGATTATTTCTCCAGCTGATAGCTCAAGTTCCCTAAACAGCAACAGTTGAGGGCACTTAGCTACAGAAGTGGAAACAGCAGTGTAAACAGCAATGTGAATATTGGGTGAAAATACCCAGGGCGGTGGAGTTACCACTTTACATCCCACAGTGGGTAGGCTGTGATGCAAAAAATGCGCCTTATGACATAGCGCGGGAAACGTAAACCTCCCCTACCCCTCTGTTATCCGCCCTCGCGCACCGACGCCGATGTGAAACCGTGCAGGGCTCCCAACCATGTGAAATAATAATGTTGGGCTCCTGTGCCAAGTTTCCAGCTGTTTCCACATGTGCATCCCATACTTACCTCCTCCCGTGCGCCTGTGCCAGGACCGAGATTCAATAAAATGCCACACTAATCCACAGTCCTTTTTCATTAAATGACCAATTAAAGCTAGAGGAAAAGGGTTCTTATTATTATTATTTCAGTTGGGAACATGTTCCCTGTAGCGCTGGGTGGTTTTTATATGTATTTTTTACGATGATTATATTCTCTTCTACTTTGTTATCTCTGCAGAGTTTTGTCGCTACTGCGTCTGATTTGCCCCAGCTCCTCGCTGTTGCCTGACTTAGCGGTGATTTGGTTTTAAATTCTGTGAAGTTATTAAATACTTCTGTACACAAGTTAATGTATTCAAGGTGAGAACGCCCTGTTTATACACTGGTAAAGTGTGTAAGTGGAGAGGTCAGCGAATATCAACAGTTGAAGAGAAGTCTTGGGGCAGCGTTGCTCCGGGGAGGTGGTGGTGGTACCCGAGGCACACAGTGATGCTCAGCTCCTCATGCTGGGCCGTGCGCGGGTGGGGAGAAGGAGCAAAGCCCCATCCCAAAGCAGCGTGCGCAGCCGGACTGGCACGGGGAGCTGGGGGGAGCAGCTACCTGAACACCACGCAAGGCTGAAACCCATCAGCAAATAAAAGCTCATGGGGTTTTAACACCTAGTCCCAGGTCCTCTTTGTTAGTCCACTGTGTTATACCTAAAACCTGATTTTCAGAGGTCTTGAGCACTGGTACCAGCTGCAAGGACAGTTAAAGATGATCGGGCTTGCTGGAGAGCTGCGCCGGTTGCATTTCGGTGGGTCGGCACAGACTGGGAATACCGAAAGGCTTCGCCTTTGTGGAGAAGGTATTGAACTTTGTGGTGAGCTTTGGGAACCCTAACCTCTGACCGAGCTGCCTTTCTCAGGCATTTTAGTTGGGTTGATGATGGGGTTTTTGTGTGTTTAGGTTCCTTAGTTGCTTTCTGTGCCAAAACAGAAAGAAAACTCTCAAAAAGTAGAGGAGGGAGGCATGTCCCTCTTTTGGGGGGGCTGCGCCTCCCCAGAGATGCTCTGTTCAGGGTCGGACAGGGAGTCATGCAGCTCCTGGCACGTTTTGGCATGCTTGGACCAGCAACTTGTAGCCACAGGCTGAGCGGGTCACTAGTTCCCCAGTAATCCCAGCATGGGTACGGCACGGGCCCTGCGTGGCACAAGGGGAGGTGTAGCCCCAGCTTTTGGAGGGCAGGAGGCAGGTGTGGGAGTCTCCGTCCGTGCCCGTGTCTTGATGGAGACAGGGCAGCCTGGGGACCTGTGTCGCTGGTGCAGGCTCAGGCCCCAGCTCCCTGTCTTTGTCCTCGGTGAAGCTCCAAAACCTAGAGATGAACCCAATACGTGCATGCCTGCCCATCTTAAAGCAATGTGTGCATCTGTCCTGGCTTTGTTTTTTTAATTAATCCACTGGGTGGTTCAAGCTCTGACTTTCCTGGTTTGCACACTCAGAGCTGGCAAAAGCGGAGCGCAAGGCCGGGCGAATCCCTCCCATCCTGACTCGCAGCTCCACAAACGGTGTTCGGGGCTGGGGCTCGCTGGGTCCACGGACAGAGGAACCGTCACCTTCCCACCCTGTGGTGTGATGCTTCCCTGGATGCAGCCCAGATCTCCTGAATTCTTTTTTTCCCTCCCTTTGCCACCGTATCACTTTACAGAGTAATGAGTTAAACAGCGCGATCGTTAGTGCAGCTCGGCTCCTGCGTGCTCCGAGCATCGGCGGCGTGCGATATCTAAGCCTTTGTGCTGGGGGGAGTGTCGGGGGCTGCACTGGGTGGAAATTTCTCACTGCAGACTTTCCCGGGGCCAGACATGTTGTAAATTTTACAAGAAAAACACTTTACAAACCAGAAGTCCAACTCTCGTGCGCATGGAGCTGCTAATTAACAACTTGGAGACCATGTGAGCCAGGGAGCCAGTTCCGCCATTACAGAGCCTCATGGTTTTGAGTCAGGCTTTGAAGATTTGAGGTCCTCCATAAAGCTCTAGCGCTGGGAGTCTGGTGATTTCTGTTTCTGTTCTTCTCCTGCTTCTCCCCAGCTTGCACACAGGAACCCTCACACCTCCCAGTCCCTCCTAGAAATAGTGCTTAAAATCATACAGAGCACTTTAAAAAGGGATGTCCGAGGAGGCACAGGATGCTGAAGACCTCACTTGCGATATCTGATCATCTGCAATTGTCGTCGCACCTCTCGGGAGGCCCTCGCTCACAACCAAGGATTCCCCAGGCTGCAGGTCCCAGCGTGGCACCCACCCTCCCAAAGCCCAGCCTGATCTTGGGCATCGCTGAGCCATCGAGGGGCACGGAGTCGCTTGGTACGGCTGGGAGTCTTGGCGTGTGGACCCATGACGACACAGTCGGGCCCTTGGCAGGGATGCTGCCGGTTTTTCCTGCAGCCCTGCCAGCCCTGGCAGGGTTAGTGCAAGATTTGCAAGGTTTGTGTTTAACATCTTGCGTGATGTCAAGCTCCTGGCTCCAGGACTGACCGCATCTCCCCTCCTAGACCTCTGCACCGGGGCCACAGTGGCCTTGGTCCCACAGGGGCTGAGGTTGCCCTGTTCCTCCTTGAGAGCCACCACCACCTCCTCTGTGTCAGGAAGGGGACCAGGAGATGGGAGACAGGGAGTGGCATGGGGTGTTGGTGGAGAGAGGGGTGTGGGAAGCATCCCTGGCTCCACACCCATCCGTGTCGGTGGTGCAGCCGGAACAGCAGATGGAACGAGCCGTGCGGTGAGGCAGGACGGAAGCAGGCGAATAGGGAGAGTAATCTTTTTTGAAAAGTTGTTGGCTTCAATAACTGTGGTTTTCCTCTAAATTGTGATGAGCACGGGTCAGAAACCCGGCGAGGTAGAGCTGCCGCTTGATGAGCCTTTCCACCAGCGTTTGGTGTTTTCCATCTCATTTCTCTCCTCTGTTTCCCGTAGCAACGGAAATAACAAACTTTGCCATTAGAAAAGATTGCAGAGTAACTTTGCCTTGATGTTCTGCATTAGTCACAGTCCTGCAGGTACAGCTGCCGGGTTTCGCTTTCCCACAGTGTCCCCTGCTGCTTGCATTAAAAAATCCATTTAGGTATACATTAAAAAAGGAGGGAAAAAAAAGTTCATAATGGAAGTACTAGGCACAGAAAGTCGCCAGAAGGGGAAATGCATTTTATGGAGCCTCAGCAAGAATCCCTGCGAAGAGCAGGAGATGCATGGATTCCTGGAGGGAAGTAAATGCCGAGTCAGGTTCTGCCACTGCAGCTCGGGCTGCGGCTCCCGAGGGCTGATCTGCTCCTTTCGGTGTGGTTCGGGATACGGCAGAGGCGCGGGATGGAAGGACGACAGATCAGATGAAAGGAAAGAAAGAGGAGAGGGGAGTCGGGATTAGAGAAGTCACTTTCTTCTGGTTTCTCTTGGATAACACAACAGGGGAAGGCAACCTGTTTTAAAATGATGGATGGATTGTCATTTCAAAACGTGCCATTACTGTTCCTCTGCTGCTAAAAGAAATTATTTAAATCAAGTATTTGGGGTGCGGAATTGGCAAGAACGCTCCAACTACGTTAGAGGTGGATGAAGTCAAAAAGAGATTTGTGATCCAAGGTGTAGGAGGAGCCGCAGCTGATGGGTGCTGGGGAGAACCGGGGGTGGTGGGTGCCCCTTGCCCAGGGAAGGGCTGTGTGCGCTACACGGCTCCTGGCCCAGCGATGCACGGTGCTTTCCCGGTGGCAGCGGTTGTAGGCTTCTCCTTGGCACTGGGGGAAAGCAGTGCCATGGGCTTGGAGGGGATGCAGGGCTGGCAGAAATGCCCCCCCAGGCATCACACCTTGAGCAGCAGTCGCTGTCCGGGCTGGGTGAAGGTGGAGACGCATCCCTGACCGTCGTCTGGTCTCTGCTCATCGGCTGAGCTCTGGCGGCTGGCCGTGGGCATGCTCTTCACCCCCCTCAGCTGTGATGTGAATTCCTTTGGGGGTGCTTGAGAGGGAGGATGCTACTTTGCAGTTGGAGCAGGCTGGGAGAGTGCACGTAGCTGTCCCAGCTCCGCTAACGAACAACTCATTAAACTTTTGCGACTGGCATGCCCTCTGTTGTGTCCGTACCCTCAGGAATGATTTCATACCCTCAGGAATGATTTCCAGATGAGACGAGCTCAGTGAAGCTCTCCCTGCTCCCCGCCGATACCAGAGGGTCTCGGTCCGGACCTCGAGGTCTTGGATCCCATGGGATCTGCTTTCTGCAACACTGGCAAATTCATCGTTTGCTACCCAAATCGGTTGTAATCTCTCCCCAGAGACCACGCAGAAGTCTTTAATGCTAATAACACTGCACGACAAGCCCAGCAGTGCCTAACATTTATATTTCTTATTCCTTCCCCAAGACCTATGAGCAGAACGAATGGATAATCCACTTGGCTGGGAAGCTGCTGGCCCAGGAAGAGGAGACCTTGTCCTTGATGGCAACGAACCCATTCGCGGGCAGAGCCCCCCCCCGGTAAGCTTTGAGTTTTGCCAAAGGAGCTGGAAGTACCCGGGCTCCGTCTTGTGCCTATCTTGGATGTGCACACCTGGTTTCTGTTGATGGATTGGGTTTTGTATTTGGTGGTACCCAGGTGGTCTTTCAATGGGGAGGGGGGGGATGTTTAATATGAGGACACTGAGGACACCATGAAGAGCTGGTGCTGTCAGCACCTTAATGCCTTCGTGGGGGGACGCAAGGACCCTTTGGGTGAGCCCCTTCCCAGGCAGGACTGGGAAGGCCTTGGCGTTGCTTCTCTTGGATGGAAATGGTGAGTGCTGAAGTGGTTTCCTGCCCACCAGCTTTAGAGTTTTTGCCATGATCCCTTTGCGAGCTCAGATCAAAACTACCATTTCTCCTGGCCTACTGAGGTATTTCAAAGACAAAACAGTCCTGCAGAAACCATTGGTTTTGTGGACACTTGTCTTGGAAGTGTTTGTGTTTTCAAGGAAGAGACAAAGCAAACATCAGCAAGTGAAAGGCACAGACAGAAACCCCAACGGTTTTTACAAAAGGAAATTTTTCACAAAAGTATCTATTTTGTTGATGAAGTTATTTTTAGCTGAGAAAACATTTTAAGGGAATTTTGGATCAACTCAAGTAATATTATGCTCTCGCTAATATTTTACATTTGAGGCTCTTAAGATACACTGCAAACAAGGCTGAAGGTTCACAGCACCGTGTGAAATGAACTTGCCCTTGAGCCCTGCCGATGTTTTTCAGCTCTAGCGCAGTCCATCCCGCAAACCTTCTGAGGAGAGACACCTTTTCCAGCTAAGACACTAAGAACTTCCACTTTTTACCCAAGCGCTTCCTCTGAGATGGTTTACACATCCCAAGATGGTATAAATGTATAAGCCCAAGATGGTCTATACTGAATGTCTGTCTGTATATAGTCTGCAAAAAAACAGAGCAGAAACGCAGCTTGGAATACAGCCGCTAAATGAGTTGCCCACCATCATATTTGAGTGTTTCTAATAACCGCGTTCCTGGGGTGCCTCAGGCATCCAGCCCCGTCATAGTGCCCAGGCACCTTATCAGAGCATTGGTACAGCCTGATGGGAACATGCTCCCTTCGGGTACAGGAGGCGAGACCGCTGTAAGAAGTTATTTGGGGGTTCTGCGCATATTCTCATTTGACAACCTGTTTTCCCACCGGTGCAGCATCGCAGAGGGGACCGACGGGTGCTCCTGGTGCACGGGACAGGATCCTGCCCGTAGCCCGGAGACCCACAGCCACAGCGGAGTTCCCATAAACGATGGTTTATAGCTCGGGGCGCATTACAGAGTGGTGTCACAGTTTGTTGGGTTACACAAGCAGCGGATCTGTTACACGCAAATAGTGATGCCTTGGCTCCGGTCCAGGAGGGCTCTCGGGGACCTCTGTTAATTATTACTACAAAAGGTGTGCTGGGCTAGACCAGCACAGCCCTTGCCACGGACGGATACAGCTTTAATAATGTGTATGGAGGGATTTTAGCTCTGATCAGTTGTGCTGGGGTTGGCTTTCCATGGGAGGAGCAGCGCGCTGATGCTGCACAGTCCGCTGGTCTCGCTCAGTTGTGTTGCAAGGAGCACGGGAAACTTGCTCTTTGCTCTGGGTTGTGTTCCCTTTTTGGCTATGTTTCCTCTTGGTTTTTATGGACCTTCATTTGATTGCCCATGCATTTATCAGCCAAAATAGGGTCTGCAGGTTGTGACAGCGAGCTGGACCTCCCCGCTGCTCCCTGCCACCTCCGTTTCGGAGCTACTGAGCCCCCATGGAGGTGGCACCTTTCTGATGGCCAGGGAAGGGACACGGTGCAGTCCCAGCACCTGCCCAACCATCGCTCACATGACAAAGGCGGTGGGCACCTCGTTAGGGTGCTAACAAACGCCAGAGCTCACAGCGGGCAGAAATGCAGCCCAGTGAGAGGGCTCACCCACCGGGATCCCACAGGAGCTGGGTCCTTTGGGAGCCCGTCATGGAGATGGTGTCGGGGCGTCGTTTGCAAGGCTGAACTGGAAGAGCGAGTGGAGAACCTCTGTTGCATAGGCGCTATCTCAGGTGGATTTATCAGCTGAGTCTCACCGAACTTTCCTCCTATTCCCAAGGCTCAGTGCCATAAATTCACCGAGTGGCATCCATGGTGGGATGTTCCTTTGCATTGCTTTGTTTTATCAAAAAAAAAAACAAACTAGAAGAAAGAAAGTCAGTCCTGAGTGCTGGTTGACCCCGGGGGTTTTAGCAGAACCTGGGACCTTTAGACACTGAGTCACCCGTTTGAATTCGGTGTCCCCTGGTGCCAGCAGCCAGAAGCCGTGACCATCTGGTGGCTGCTGGCAATAAACGGCTCTCACGGTGCACGGAGCGACAGAAGCCGTTGATAATTCCAGAGCTGTTTATTACCACGTGTCCCCTGGTGCCACAAACGTTGCTGCTGGTACTCACCGTGACTGAGACTGAAAACAAGACATCATCACAGATTAAAAATCAAGCAAATGTATTATCACGTCTTGCCTTCCAAGACTTTGCCATAGGCGGGCTGCATCTCTTCTATGCTTTCTGGCATCAATGGTGTTAAAAAAAATCAAGTAGTTGAACACAGGAACTCATTTTAAAATGAAAATAATGAAGTGGGATGTGGCTGGGATAACACTACATTGCCTCAGTTGGTGAACAGGTTTTTTTATTGTATTCTGTAACAGGTGAGGAAGTGAAGTGTTCAGGAATTTAAAGGAAAGCCAAAAGTAAATCTTTCTCTTTGTTAGTTTTTATAGGATAACGATTACAGAGCGTACAGAGGAATACAGGCAGGTCCAGTAAGTAGTTACACAGCAGCGTGGATGCTGTGTTGAACATACAGAGCTGTAGATTTTGTGGAACAGGGTCTTGATTCATGCCTTACCTTGGTTTAACCAAAGCACAGACTCTGTTTTCACTCTTCAGCAGCTAGTTTATAGTAGGAAAAGATCAGGATCCAGTGCTGGTTTTATGTGTCAGCTGCCTTTGCTCTGGCATTAGCTTTGCTTTAAAAGTTTTTCATGGGTCTAGTGTATTTTTGGGTGGCGTAAAATAAAAATAACAATTTACAAATGCTCGTTTTGGCTCAGACCAAAATCCAACACCCCGTGTCACTCTGGATCCCATGTTGTGGGTCACATTTTGGGTTTTGGCGAGCCTAATCCAAACACCTGGGACTTCGGCACCATCCGGATTTTTACCCAGGGGTGAAGGGGAGGGCTGG